TGGATCAATTTCTCATCAGATAAAGTCACAAATCAGACGAAGAGAAACGAGGCGAGTGAGGAAAATGAAGATTCAGAGCAGCAGCGGGGAAAATCAAAGACACAGACGCTGCAGCTGATCAGAGTTAAGCTGCTAGTGAAAACACAACTGTGATTCTACTGAAATTAACTTTTTTTCCCACTGAAATTTTATTATTTAAATGCTATCATAGGTGGGCCTTCGGTCTTAAAGCTTCAGTTATGAAAGAAAAAAAACTTATGTTGTTACAGCTCAGAGTTACTACATCATTTTTTGTAGTCGGGGTGCTCACCTCCATGACACAGAGCAGCTGGATCTTCTGCATCAGTTTAGCTTCATGTGCTGCAAGGTCAGGCTAACACCAAGAGAGAAGAGTAAACCAGTCAACAATGATCCACATGTACAAGTGAAAATCTTTCTTTCAGCTCCAGGTGACTTTCAGAACTTGAATGTGACAGTTTGTTTTGTGAAGATGAATTATTTTGTAAAAATGAAAAACTCACGAACGCCGTTTGAATGCAACGGTAAGAGTTGAGATCGGTCAAGTTTCTCTGAATTATTGGCTGCGTTCAAATGAACCCATTCTCCTACTTTCTACCAGCTTAGCACGTATTAATGATTTTAAAAAGGTTTTCAAAGAGCACACACAAACACACTGAGCCCATTTCCCTCTATGCACTAATCCCAGCTAACTTGGACAACCTTAGTCATCCACCCCACTCCAATGCCTCGGCTGCTGAGTGCCTACATTTCTTTTAGCCACCTACTGATAGTAGGTGGCTAAAAGATGTGGATGTCATCGTGTTGTTGACTTAAAGTTGGCTGAAATGACGAATGTAACTAATGGTGGAGATGTGTGGGATTACTCAATTGCATCATTTCCACCGTGTAAATACAGAAGATTGATTGAATTTCTGATCTAACTTTCTTTCTTTAGCCCCTTTTACAGCCTGTTCAAGGTCTCGCTGCTCTGCATAAAAAAGGTATGAACATGGAATGTAGATATTGTTGCTCCGCCTTTATGCTAGCAGCAGAGATAGTCACGGTGAGGCTGTGGTGTTACACGTCCACACACTGCGGTGGCATTATGTCGGCTTGTTTGGTTCAGTGTAAACAAGGAAAGGCGACAAACCGAGGGGTTTTCTTAACGGCAGTATAATGGGCTCTCTGTGTAAAAGTGTGTAAAAGGCTTTTGTTAACGTGTTGTAACGTGTTAAATTCACTCTCTCATGGTTTCGGAGGTTTAAAGTTTTACTGTGAAACCTTTGATTGGAGCCACTTCTAATCTTCTACAGTAAACAAACAGTAACTGAGCTAATCTCGCAAATCTAACTGCAAGTTACCTTCAAACATGTATGCAGAATCAAAACCAAACTCTCTGTTTCCCAGTGAAACAGATGTTGCCAGTGAACCTTTTCATTGTAAACACTAAGCTGCCAAATACATGAATTAACACTCCCATATTTGGCAAACAGCCATTATGGCAGCTTTTGATTGACAGCATCTTTTTAGTCCTAACTCACTGATCAGAGGTGACTCAGGTAGATCAGATCACATCTGTCTCTAATGTCTTAGTACATGTTAATTACCTGTTGGCCCCAGGCAGACTTGAAGCCCTGGAATTTCTCCACATTGCCTCCATTGAAGGCATAAAGTGTATCAATGAGCCACTGTTTGTCTGTGTTCCTCAGAGACTCCAGCACAGGATGCATCAGCTGCAAAGACCAACAGCAGACATGGTCATTACTACACTGCGTTTCAGCTGGAAGGCTGCACAGCATTAACAAAAAAAATGTTAAGTGAGAACCCCACCAGCTCTCCAAAGTTGTAAACTCCTTCTCCCAAGAGTCCAGCCAGTCCGAGTGTGAATGCCCTCTCCTGCTTCTCTGTTTCTGCGGAGTCAACAACAACCAGTCGTTCAGCCACTGATATGACCCATACACCACGTTTCATCAAGAAATCAATTCCTGTTTGTTTCCCCATTGTGCCTTTGCTCACCTGGAAGGTCTTTAATGTCCACACATCCGAGGTAGCGCAGAGCGTCCTTGTAGTAGGAGGCGTGGTTCCCGATGATGCGATAGTATTTGCTGGACAGGTCATAAAACCTGCCGTGGACTGACGTCACCCCGGGCAAGTTATTCAACATTTCCTCAACCTCTTCGATGAGTTTCTGGAGGACAAAGAGGAAATAAAAGGTGATTTACACATTTTCATACAGAACTACAGTATCAGGGCGTCAAGCAGCAGATCACATCTGTTGAACCTTTAAACCCCAGGCTTCGTTTTCACTCCCTTTATTCACAGGTTTAATGCAGAGATATAATGTGTTAGATGTTTTAGATAGACACGTCATAAGTTGAGACAGTTAAAAATGCAGCAGGTCAGTAGTACTATGCATGTTCTAGTATCCTAGTTTTTCTAAACCAATGTCATTTCAGATGCTGTTGTTTTGTTTTACAGGTGTTGGTTTTTGACGCTCTGCTTTACAACACATCATGTGTGAAGATCACCAGCAGCTTGAAGTTTGAAATGTGCTACCGCGTGTTATATGTGAATGAGGTGTAAGGCGGGTTTTGCGTCAGCAGCATGTAAAAAAGGAGAGAGGTGAGATTTTAGGAGCTCTAACCTTTGTGGCAGGAAGATCGTTGATCTCCAGCTTCAGGCTGCCAATAGTTGTCTTGCAGAGAATGACGGCTTCTTCGCTGCTTTTCACCTGGAGCAGACACACAGACGTGTTAAAGTTTAATCATATAACAGCTTTGAAAATTTTCAGCTCAAAAGCTGACATGTTGGGATCCGTCAGCTTACCTTTTCCTTGGTCTTCTCGAGAAAAGTGATGGCATCTTTAGGATCTGAAAACAAAAAAACATTTTCCTAAACACTCAAAGAAAAGCTAAATGTACAGAGCAATTTTCTGTACTGCATCATGTTGTCATTACCTGACATCTGTCTGGCAACATACAGTATAATTTCCACAAGGGACAAAGGATTGATTCTGTTGAGGGAGCAAAAATAATAAATTAGCACCAAAACCAAGAATAAATACTGAACTGGTGTTTGTACATGCATCAAGCAACTTTCCATCACCTGTGTTCGAAGTCACTGAGGAAATTTTCATAGAGCTGGAAGAAGAAAATAAACTGTTAGATCACAGAAAATATAATATGTTCAACGTTCAAATTCCCACTAACAGTATTTGGACTATGACAGTATTTATTGTTCAAGTTTCACATTTGTAGAGAGTATCTGTATGACGTTCCTTCATTTTTGTAAATGTCTGTATCGGTTGATATTTCACCAGCCTTTCTAACCATAAAGCTTCATACGGTCCCTAAGCCAGTTAATATCTTGAACATGAACACAAAACAATCAGAATAACAACACGAGATACAGAGCTGGATGATGATGATCTTATGTTAGCAGCGTAAACAATTCCATCACTGCTTGGTCACAATTTGGTCAAATGTAATGTAAAACAGTGGAACGAGTTTTTGCTTTAAACATCATTCTGATTGTCTTATGTGCAATTCTACATACATTAGTCATATTATGATGATGATCAGTAAAAATAGACATATTAATATCATGTTAATGATTTCAACCATGTCACACAGCCTGACAGAGCTGTGCCTCTTAACGATGCATAAGACAAAACAAATGGGTTTAATAGCAAATAAACAAAAATGAATTTATTGAGAGTACCATACAATACAGGTTTGTGGTATATTATTCCTAACAAGTAATGAACCCGTCTGGAATTAGACACTTATGATCACCACCACTAGACATCTTATTGTCACCAATATCAGTGTCATTTAAAGCACCTCAGAGAGTTAACTGTGGATGACTGTCTGCTTGATGCTGGTACAGTGTGAATTAAACAGGGATGACACCATGTCCTGTTCTGACTGGCGTAAATAGAACTACAATGACGTTTTGAATTCTCCTTGAGAGTTATAAAAATAAGCAATCAACCGCTTTTTGTTTATGTTCAGTAATATAGTGTGACTGTGGTGTAGTTACCTGTATGAGGCCATCTCCTGTTTTGAAGCAGGGATCTTTAACAAAGTCTGTCAGCTTCAGAGTCAACTGATGCCACAATCTGTCAATAACAACACAGTGTCAGTGACGGTCACCGCTTCATCTGAATTACACTGTATCACAAGGGCCGAAGACAAACAAATGTTCCACAGAAACAATGTAGTTTTAGCCAAGAAATAAACTAACATGCACCTGGAGTATTCAGATACAAGTGAAAGGGATTTAGAATAACTTGTCATGTCATGGTTACACGTCGAACATTCATCTTAAACTTCTAAAACCAAACAGCGACTAGTATTGATTGATAGTCAGTAGTTATACAGATGCAAATACAAATAGGTAGTATATAAGGTGTGAATTGGTCCAACCTGTGTGTATTGAATACTCAGGATCTTTAAGTTGTATACTTGGAGCCGTGACCATAAAGTCGTACAGACGCTAACAACCCGCTAGAAAAACTTGTGACAGGCTGACAAACTTACTTACCACTGCCCTAAAGATCTGGAGACTGCTTCAAAGCTTCAACCCATGACGTGACATAAAAATATTATATTATTGTTATTAGCCAAGCTTTGGCTTTGAGCTAGCTTAAGGTTTAGCGTTAGCTCCGTGCATGACTCAGCGAGCGTTTCCAATGAATGAGCAAGCTAACGCTAGCTAGCCTAGCGTTAGCAGAGATTTTCAACATTAGCTATCTGACTCGTACGTTCTTTTTACCTTTTGTTATACAAATCCTCCAGGTTGTGCCACTCCGCCGCCATCTCCGGCGTTGAGCTGTTGCTCTGCTGCTGCTTGAGGTACCCGGTAACATCTTTCATGGTAGCGAAATTAAAGTTTATTCGGGAGTGAAGTGTTGTTGAATTTTAAGCTAACGTCAAATAGTCAGTGGGTCCTCACGTCTGCTAGCCGCGAGGAATGATGGGAAATGCATGCGGGGTTGCTGCATTCACGTACTGCCGGCAAAATGGGAAGAACAACAACAAGCTCCAGTAGTGAGCTAGCTAGCTTAAAAAAACCTGTGAAGTTGATTTCATGGCAGCTGTAGTCTTTATTTTTTATCGCCCCGTTGGTTATTTAAACTCAAAACACGACGAATAATTAAACGACAAGGGCGATGAAGCTAGGTTAGCAAACGACCGAGCTGTTCAGTGAAGCTAAAGTTAGACTATATCGTACATTACGGTACCCTCAGGTGCATCATATGGAGGTCAAAGGACAACAACAACACACACTTCAGTAGAAAGGCAATAATTAGTTCTTCATTCTGTTTTATTTTAAATGGAGAAAATGTGTTAACAGCTCGTGTCCGTGTTTGGGAACCCGCTTGTTGTAAAACGGAGTCATGCAATGAAGGTCTGTGGGTAGTTTAGTTTGCTGAGTTATGGCGTCTTTGGTGAGCCCCTCGTTAATGTCACCTGTGAGACTGAGTTGTTTGTATCGCAGTCTGTGCTCAGGACCAAGCAGGACGCTCTCTGCACACGGTTAGTAGACACACAGAGCTGATGTGGTGCAACAGAAGAAGTATTTAGGGTAGTTAAATGTGACACTACTTGTTTTTTTTGTTTTGTAGGCTTTGGTCAGAGGAGTTTTTGTCCAGCTGAAGGTGCAGCAGCTCTGCTCAGGTACTTTGCACCAGTCCTCTCTGGGTTCAGGTCCATGTTCAGCATCACAAAATTTTACATTAAAATGAAAATTACACCACATCAGAGGTAGTGCACATTTAGAGTCAGATTTTAAAAGGAGGTAAAAACAAACTGTTTCTCTGCAGCTGTGTGCAAGCAGCAGTGTAATCCACAGGCATGTTAACTGAGCTTTGTGATACTTATTGCTCATTTTTTGTTCAGTGAAAGTTTACACATATACCCTTATACTTAGGGATGCAATGATAACTCGATTAATCGACAGAAAGTTAAACAGCAACTACTTTCTTAACCAATTAATTTTCTGTTAATCGACTGATCGTTGCAGCTCTAATTGCAATTAGCATCTGTAAATGAGTAAGTTAGACTTAAGTGGAGCACTGAAACAATGACATACAGTATATATATGGGATCTTGTTTCCAAGTTAGATGAAAAAAGTTTGACCTAAAATGTAAGTGGAATATAGGGTTCACGTGATTAGAGTGAAGTTGTTGATTCCCTGTGTGGTCCAGGTTTGCAGCAAACTGACCATCATTGACTGTCATCCCACTCGAGTCTCATACAGTATTTATGTGCAGCTTTGTGGAGTTGATACAGACAAACGCTTGGCCACAAACCCCCTGTTTTGCTTCTTCCCAGACGATCAAACTCTCCCTGGTGGGATGGAACTCGAGGGCTTTTCTCCCATGGTGGTGGTGCAGCGGACAAGCAGCAGACTCTGCAGGACATTGCCAAAAACATTAGAGAGAAGCAGCACAAGAGGGTGGTGGTGATGGCCGGAGCTGGGATTAGTACTCCTAGTGGCATCCCAGATTTCAGGTAAAAAGGTTTTATGTGGTTTCCTGTCCTAGTCATGTAGTATTTTATAAATCTACTGGTGTGTTCTGGGGTCTATCAGCAGATTGTTCCTTCACAGGTCTCCAGGCAGCGGTCTCTATGACAACCTGCAGCAGTATGACCTGCCCTATGCCGAGGCCATATTCGAGATTGGCTTTTTCCACCGAAACCCTAATCCCTTCTTCGCCCTGGCCAAAGAGCTGTATCCAGGAAACTACCAGCCCAATCTGACCCACCACTTTGTACGTCTGCTTCACAAGAAGGGTCAGCTCCTCAGGATGTACACGCAGAACATCGACGGGCTGGAAAGATGTACGTATTTACACCTTTTGAAATTACTACACATCACTGAGATTGTGCGTTTCATTTTAAGCAAATCGTTGTTTTTTTTGTGTGTTCGTCTCTGTCAAGTGGCAGGAATTCCTCCAGAGATGCTGGTCGAGGCCCATGGCACGTTTGCCACAGCCACCTGCACTGTCTGTCTGAGGAAGTATGAGGGCGAGGACCTTCGAGTGAGTTATAACAGCTCACATTTCTCTTCTCATTTAGTCAACCGCTAGATTTACATTAGTTTCCTGAATATTTATTGTAAATGTGAAGGTGTAGATTAATCTCAAAAACAATCGGTAGATAGACTAGATAGTAATTTTACATGTTGTTTCTATGTCTCATCAGCCTGATGTGATGAGTGGGACGGTCCCTAAGTGTCCCACCTGTAAGGGCGTGGTGAAGCCTGACATTGTGTTTTTCGGGGAGGAGCTTCCACGGCATTTCTTCAAGTACGTCACAGACTTCCCGCTGGCAGATCTCCTGATCATCATGGGCACGTCACTGGAGGTGAGCACCACCAGCTTCAAACAACATCGTGTCCCTGTAGTTTGACATATTCCACGTGATGGTGAGACATGACACCAGGGACAGTTCAAAGCTGAAACTGACCCTCAGTCTTGATTCATCACACATTTTTGGCATTTTTGCTTTTTATTGAATAGTTTACAGTGAAACATGATGAGACAGGGAGGTTTGACATGGTCCCCAGCTGGAGCTGAACTGGGGATATTGCTATTATATGCAATGCATCCTAACCACCAGGCCACTCCTCAAATTTTGGGTTTTCAGAATCAATAAATAAAATAAAAAAATCAATAAATCCCAGCACCCACCGGGATTCAACAACCTTCTCTTGCAGAGGAAGTAAAGATTCTCAATGATTCCAGTGATTTGAGTGTTTCCACTAATGTCGTTGAGAAAGTTGCAGGCTTTATATTAAAGGAGGGACGGGGTGGAATAAAATGTTTTCTTCATCATGAATGAACCACAAATAATATACGTATACCTTTTTCTTTTTCTCAAAATCTCTATGTGGGATTTTCATATGAAAACAAAACAAAATGCTCTTTTACATTTATTGTAAAACAATATGATGTAAACAATGAACGGACAGAGTCAAAATACACTTTCTAATTTCTTATCAACAGTTTCAAACAGCTGGGTCAGAGACCGCCCCCTCACACTTCAAGGCTCTCGATTGTAAAAATGTTTGGTTGTGTCTCGGTAGTTTAATGTTTTGTGAGTTTGCTACAGCTGATGGATCCATAGTAAATAACGTATATCGACTTGTTGCCAATGTGATTTTCAAGTTGCTGTTGTTCGCTCTTTGCTCTGCAGGTGGAGCCCTTCGCCAGTCTGGCTGGAGCCGTGCGCAGCTCAGTTCCCCGTCTGCTCATCAACAGGGACTTGGTGGGGCCCTTCGCCTGGGGCCGCCGGCCTCATGACGTCGTGCAGCTGGGTGACGTGGTCGGCGGCGTGCAGGCCCTGGTCGACGCCCTCGGCTGGACTCAGGAGCTGGACGCTCTGATGGCCGCCGCTGCTGCTAAGAAAGTGAGTGTGTATTTTGTTTACAAACTCACACACACACACACATTATAAATCTTTTTACACCAGGGTTCCCAGGGGTCTGTTGAGTCATTAACTTTATTTAATGAATCAATCAGCCAAGATTTTTGTCTATATACCTTCAGTAGGGCAAATACTTGATGAAAGAAAATCTCAAATTTGATCATTTCATCAAATGGAGCAAAATGTTTTTCAGGTACAGATGAGAAATCATAGTTTCTGTTTCCCAATACATATGAAACTCTACAGACAGTGAATTAATACAGATAGCCATCAAGAAATTCAAATAACAATAGTAATAACAATAATAATAGATATGCATGATTTTATATTTTCTTTTTTTTACCTTTGGACAGAGTCAGTGTCAATTTTCTTATGTAGCTCTTTACAAGAAAGCAAATAAATGTCGAACTCTTCCTTTAAATACCTGCAAAAATCTCAGGTGCAGAGCCTTTGTGAGATTAGATGTTTTTACCACGAGTGCACGGATCCCCTCAAGAGTAAAAACGGAATCAGTGCAGCTGTATGAGGCTGAGTGCGTTTTGGTAATAAATGCCTGACTGATGCAGTGAGTGGGAGCCACACTGCAAACATCACTCATGTTACTGTGTGTATGTTTATCTGCAGGCTGCAACAAAGACAGAGGAGTGACACCACATCAAGCTGGAGGTTTGACTTCATTCACTGCACTCAGCACCTAAAACACCTGAACCTCAGGACAAAATCCACATGACTCTTTTGCACGTTGTTGTTTCACTGAGGATCATGTACTAACAGAAGTAATGGGGTCACGGTTGTGTCAGTGGAAACTCAGTGACGGGCAAATAAGGAGCTGCTATAATGGAAATGCAGTAGAAAGCAATAGAAATGAAACATGCAGGTAAGTGATGCCCAGTGATGAAATCGAAACAGGAGCTTTTTGTCTCAACAAAAAGAAACTGTCAAAAATAGATACAGGGTTTTCCATTTAAGTTTTACCTACAATAGAATATCTTATGCAACTCATGTTGACTAAGAGTGAAGATGTACAATATTCTTTTTTATTTATTTACCTCTGGTTTCTTGAAATATTGTTTCCAAGTTCTGCATAAGAAATGCAGTTACAGTCTCTGTGGTGGCCTTCGTTTGTGTGAAAATTCATTTAATCTCACAAAAAAAATATATACAGTGTGTGTGTATATGTATATGTATGTATGTATGTATATATATATATATATATATATATAAGACAAGGGAACTACAGGACATTAAGAATGGACAAGACTCAAACTTGCAATAATATCAGAGGAAGACAGCAGTTGATTAGTGTCTTGTCGTCATCTTGTTCATTAAAACAAGCTCAGATTTCTTTCTGTCGGTGGCAGTAACGTGATGTGAATGAATAGTTTCAATAAAAGACGGCTCAGTAATTTCCTAAAACATCTGTTCACTGTTGTTTTTATCAAACAAACAGGAGGAAATATACAAAGTGTTTGTTGGCGACTCTTCAGCAGCTCATTAAACCACATTTGGTGCTGTGTGAGTATTTGTGGCAGCAGGATGGTGTGTGTCGGACTGAGTCACAATAAACAGTGTGTGTGTGTGTGTGTGTGTGTGTGTGTGTGTGTGTGTGTGTGTGTGTGTGTGTGTGTGTGTGTGTGTGTGTGTGTGTGTGTGTACATGATGATGAAGGAACACAGTGTCTCTGTGATGTGTTTTAGTAGTTTTTGGAAACTGGAGCTCTACGGCTCAGAGGAATCAGGTACATCAGGCTGTGATATACACAGAATTTATTAGTAGATAAATTAATTGTTGGATTTGGTCTTTTTGTGAGGTTTGTTGACATTAAGAAAAAACATACGACATCGCCAGGCTCTCCTTTAGTTAAATGAACAGTAATTGATTGTTGAATGTGTTTGTAACCAGCAGAGGGAGCCAAAGATCAACCTCCTGCTTGAATGTTGATCTGGTGTCGGTTGTTTTATGATGATACCTGCAGCTAAAGCTGAATCTCCAGGTCAGTATTAGTCTGTGCACAATTAAGTTTATCTCTCAATATATCCTCAAACTTTTATTTTTGGAAGTTATGCTACTGTAACTTCCTGTTGATATAGCTTATTGCTTTTTTAAATTTTTTTATCATGGATAGATGGATATTTTATTAATCCTAAAGGCACGTGTTGGTAACAAACAGTACAATTAAAGCCTAAATCATATACAACAACTAAATAGTCTATATAAAATATAGAAATTAAAATAAATATAAATAAATGGAAAGAAAAAGACCCACAGTGATACTGCGTCCTCAATATACACTGTGCAGCAGCATTGTTTGGATTTACAAATAGCTGGCTCAAAGATGGACCTGAACCATGAACCCTCTTCCATCAGTGCACCTTCATTTCCATTGATGTCTTTTACTTGCAGTTAATGAGAGAGAACTGACTTTTTCCAGTTGAGAGAAAGTGAGAAAGTCTCTCTCTCTCTCTCTCTCTCTCTCTCTGACCCTGACCTCAGTGTGCTCCGTGCTGTCTGGGGTTTGTAGTTTTGCAGATCATTACAGATTTGATCAAACTCATCACCCGCCTGAGACTTTTTTGAGCCCAGCTCTCACACCTCGCTCCAATTTTCACCTCTCCTTTCCCCCGGTCCTGGAAAAAACGTGTTGTTAGGGAGCTGCTGACGTCTCTGTAACAAGAAAAGATCTATTTTATCACATGCCGTATGATATCATGCTGCAAGGAAATTTTTCCTTTCATGCTAGTGTGTGTGCGCTTCTTAAAGGGACTTAAATTCTTAAGTCAAATCCTCCTCTCTGCCTTTATGAGTGTGACTTTTTCTTTTTTTAACTCCACATTTTAGGATTATTTGACGACGTTAATAGGTCGACTGCAGAACTTATTGCTATTGTTTTTTCATCTTCTGTTCTACGTTTCCTTCAAAAACATGTACCCAGTTTGAACTGGGTTGACCGTGAGATCCACTGGTCAAAGCAGCGTCATTCAAAGTTGTAGTTTTTGTCACTCCAGCGGCGTAGCTCTGTTAATGTTGTTGGAACAAACTGGAGTATATGAGGGTTTGATATTGAAAGTCCACGAACCTCGAAGTGAGATCGTTTTGTCGACTTGAACCTTCAGTCTCAAGTTTTCAGCCGACATAGACGAGAAGTCGTTAAAGCACGGACGGCGGCTGATGAAGACTGTGTGATATGATCAAAAGCTGCAGAATGGCTACTAAGTGAACCTTGATGAAGCTTGTGTGGATTAGTTGTAGTCGCCCAATAACCAGACGTTAACCATAGCAATGGCAGATCAGAAAACACTGTTGTGCCATCTGATGCTTATTAAAGATAATTTGATTTGATTACAGATTGAAATTGTTCCATCAAATTGTAAATTCATTTTTTTTTTTGGTTTTGAGGCTCTATGGACCAGAACCTCCAGCTGTGCCTGGAGATCAGCTGATTAGTTATTTCAGAGTCATGCTGACTCACTGGTAGCAGCACTACAAGAGTAAAAACAGATAAAGTGGATGGAAATGGCAGAATTTAGGATTTAAAATGAAGTTACCACACGCTGAGTAGGAAGGAATAAGACTTGCAGACCCATCTCAGTTGGTGGTAAGAATATTTTCTAGCGCCAATTAATCCCAATTTAATTCAAATGAAGTAATGTTATAATGTTGATTAGTTATAACTATATCTCAAAGCCTTGTAGTAGTGTCAGAGGGAGGAGTGTCAGTGTGGATCTGCTGTGGCAGGAAGCTTCAGACAGGAGTCAAGAAGTTCATCTGCAGTTTTTCAAATGTTGCTCATGTCACAGCTATGTAGGAACACAAAATGAGCACAAAGAGACGCAAAACAACAAAAAAAGAGACGCAAAAGGATCATAAAAGCATAAATAGATGCATAACAACTTCAAAAAGATGCAAAACAAGCACAACAATAGACTCAAAACGACCACAAAGGACATGTCTGTGTTTTTTGTGTGTCTCTTTCAGTGTAGGTGTCTTTGTCATGGGTAGGAGGGGTGGGGGCCTTTTTTAAATCGCTCGCGCCCAGGGGCCCATTATCACATAACCCATCCATGCATAAATGAGATTTCAAAATTGGCACCAAACTGTGGCTGAGTCACTCTAAAATGAAAGTTATCTACTTCACATCTGGGCTCCAGTCTGTCCGCCTGGCACGAGGTGTTCTCACACATTAAATGATCTCAGACTAAGAGACGAGTCAGTCTGACCACATCGACCTACAAACTGAAGGACGTTTAGAAAGATGACACACTTTATTAGAAAGGTTTCCACTTAAAACGTGGATATGGCGTACAGTAGGCACAGTCAGTAACCAAACATACACACTGTGGTGACAGGCAGTGATGGCTTCAAGGACCATACCACTCAAATTTAAGTCATCCTGCAGCCGAAGATACTTCCAGAACATAAAACAACCATTTTCACAAGAGTGGAGGTTAAAGACTCTAATGTCACAATCTGGAAACACTTCACTTAAATGGCCTTTTCTATCATTGCAACTTAAAGATTTCATTCAACATCATACAGACATTTTTTTTTTTTTAAAGTAAACGGTATCTGATATGAAAAATAAAGTCTCCAAAGTTCCTGCTCCTTTTTTATTTCTTTTCTTTTTTCTAAGATATACTGCAAAATGTGATGAAGTTTATTCTAATGTTATTCATCAGTCAGAGTAGAAGACGGAGTTCAGGAATGTAAATCTTTAAGACAGTTTGAAGCTGAAGTTTCTCTTCCCTCCCTCTCAAGAAATCTGTTTAATATTCAGCAGCACGACCAAAAAATATTCAGTTTCCTGCTATTTCAAGAAACTTCTCACGTTCTAACGTTTCCTTGTTATTACTACAAACCAAATAATTCCATTTTAACAAGAATCTATCAACAAATCTCATTAAAACAAAATATATATTATTTTCTTTTTGCGTTTGCGGCACCGTTTCACTCGTTTTACTGTCACCATGACAAAAAATATTTGCCGACTTGCTCGCTTGTTATGTTATATCATGTTATAACAAGATAACTTTCATGTTGTAATGTTTTAATCTATTTCTCTTATTAATACAAACTAAATTACTCAGTTTGTAAAAAGAAACTTGACAGGATTTTATCAAAAACTTTTTTTTCCCTTTATTACACAAAATCAATATATCAAAACAAGAAATGTTCTCATTATAACATGGTAAATTGGGGACATGTGCAGCATTGGATACTTTGCTTTTGCCTGTAAATTGTCTTTTATAGCTGCAGTTAACTTGCAATGTTAGGGTTCGGTTTAATAGTGTAAAAATGTCTGTGATTTGTGTTGTTACATCGAGAAAACGTTCCTTTTAAATAAGATAAATATGACATTATGACACGGAAAACATGTTGTGGTATGAAAAGGACCTTATTCATTTTCGTCTAGAATTTTCTTGTCATAATGTAAGTTGGTATGAAGTAACAAGAAATTTTTTTGCCACTGCAACTAAAGAAAAAGTATGCATATGAGACAAAACACAATCAGATGAGTGAAACATATTCGCTAGTTTGGTTACACAAATGCAGCCGAACAAACTGCAATGAAAATAAAGAAAACACAAGCAAGAAAGGAAACACAAGCAAATACAGAAACGCTGCGAGTTGCACAGAGAAAAAAGTGAAGCAAGTTATAAAAGGAAGTTTCCAGGGGACGCTAAAAGCTGTTGTGGTTCGTGGAGATAGCAAAAATATATCCGGCCCATACTTGGACCACGTGCCTGTTTTCTTCTGGCCCAGTATACACCCGGTTCCACGGCCCAAATCTGGCCCGTATACAGCATGACTGTCAGATGCTACTTCCACATCAGGACCAATTGTAGCGTGCACACACAAAATCTTCTGGCTGTCAGTCAGCACCGCAGGATAACAGCCAACATCTGCCCAAAATGTGGACGTATACGGGCCAGACTTGGGCCGAGGAACCAGGCATATGTTGGGCCAGAATTTTCATTTTGCTTTTGGTGTGATTCGGGCTGCAACTAACAGCGATTTTTATTATCTATTAACCTCACCAGGAGGTCAAAGTGACATCCTCGGATGAACAACATTTAAGACGAAGAAGAGAAACAACTTCTCACATTTGAGCCGATTTGGCCTTTTTATCTTAAAAATTACGATTTACGATTATTATTACGACTATATGATCATCAAAATAGCTCAAGCTCTACATTATATAAACTAGATATCTGCAGCAGCATCTAAACCAGAATGTTAAAACTGGGGGGAAACAACTGTCAGTCAGCTTCTGTATTTTTGTGTTTTGTGTTGTGGACTCGTCAAGTTGGTGATTGTGATCTTCAGTTTGCACATTTTATTTCTTTACAGCTTGTTTTTTTTCTAAAAGCTGCATATTCTGTTGAAGTGATGACAGTTTCTTCATCTACATCTAGCAGTGATCCGCTGTATTATAGCCCAGCGGTTCTCAAAGTGAGGGTTAATGGGGGTCCCCAGTGAAAAGGGGAATAATTTATTTTCACTACAATTCCAGTATTGGAGTATTTTGGTCATGGGTTTCAAACACTTTCTGTAATTAAACATCTAAAAGCTTGAAAATCTTATCTGATGGGGGTCTGTGGTCTAATTTGTGTCAGTTTAGGAGTCCTTCATGTGAAAGAGTTTCTATATATTATAATATAGGCTATTAATGTTTCACTGTGTGAGGTAAAAGTACAAAGTAAAGTACCACAAATCGAAGTTTCTTCATACCAACTTATGTCATAATGAAAAACATTCCTTGTTTTAACAAGATACATTGATTTTGAATAAAAATGAAAAGTTCTTGATATAACAAGAGAAGTACAGAATAATTTGGTACTTAGTAATAAAAAAAAATGATTTCATAATTAAAAAAGTTTCTTGTTATAACTTGAAACTGAACAACATAAAGTTTCTTCTTTCCAGAGAATAATCAACGCACAAGTTAAACTGTCCCACAAAAGCTGTTAACACCCTCCTGCGTCTTTATGTTAAACTCCAGAAAACAAACTTTAATTATCCCCTCAGCTGTAGAGTTAATCACCGAATCAATGATTTACAAAGACAACATACTGAGGTTTTGAATGTGAAACAGGAAATAGCTTAAAAACCCTTCAGTAAATGTCCTCAGTATATTGAAGGTTTTAAATGCTGCAGATTATAATGTAACATGATAGATAGTACATCCTTTGACTTTAAGGCATATTGCTACTCATGAAAGTTTTTTTATCAGTACACGTTAAAATGACTTTAAACAGCCACGGTGACCTGGTTTCAGCTGTGCCAGGCTTCATGTATTGTAATCCTTTTAACTGACTGACACACAGTTGAAGAGGAAGTCAGTGATCCATGACGGGAGGGAGGGAGGGAGGGAGGGAGGGTTGGTTGTTGATCTTTCAAGTTCTGCTCCTCAGGTCCTTTTGGCTGCAAATCCTGCTCCTCTAACAGGAGACATCCAGATTATCCACTCACACTTCTTGAGATCATGCTTCAGATTCCTGGCAGACATTTTCTGTGTTTGCAACCAGCCTCGTCACCTTCAACTCACTGATACGTGGGTGATTTCTAATGTTTCCCAGAAGCGCTTTCATGTCTCGTGACTTTCGACAACTAGTAAAGGAGTAATGTGACATTTTGGGGAAATACTTTTTCGCTTTTTCTTGCCAAGAGTTAGATGAAAATATTAACAGCACTCTTGTATCTGTCGGCTGTTTCTCCTGGTTGTTTGGCAGGAAGTTACTGCAGAAATTGTCCAACACATAAGTTCATTGTCGTTTTCTTACATCTTGGTGTACGTATGTATTAAACAAACATGACACAACATGTTCGTTATTGAGCTCGGAAGGTGGATTTTCTCTAAACGTAAATGATTCAAATCATGAGACGAGAAGCCCTCGAGTCGAAACTCATTTTTGTGACGCTGTCGACACTGAAGAACAATACGTGGTTAAAACATGTTTAGACCACAGGTCCGCCGTGTAGAATTAGGTGCCTTACTGCAATACATTTGAATGTTAATGAGGTAAAACAGATTTTTGTTTGCGTTCTTGATGACAGAACGTTAGCACTGTGAGCATGTGGTCTTTAGTCAAGGAGATCATGGCGGGACATAAGGCAATACAGGTGCCTCTGTAACACAGGATGGCAGCCGTAAACATTTAAACTACAGAACTAGGAACTGTGACGAAAACGGATCGGCTAAACAACCTCCCTCGGCTGACGGCACTGTCAGACAGGAGAGACGTTTGAGGACGTTGAGGCGACCTGTAAGATTCGGTCGCTGCATGTACACGGCGTCCGGCTGCAGTCCGGCTCTGTCCTGCCGTCAACGTCCACTGGAAATGTTTCAGGAGTAGAGTTTCTGTTCTTCAGCAGCTACAGTCAGGTGACAGATTAAAGGAAAAAGGCCACCATGTGCCACCAGAACATCTTCAGTGCTCTTTGGCGTGGAGTCTACAAGTCTCCTCTTTCTAATGATAATTCCTCATGTGGTGTTTTGACGATTGTGTTCAACTGTGTTGAGATCTGGTGACTGCGAAGGCCACAGCATGTGATTCACATCATTTTCATACTCTTCAAACCATCAGGCCCTATGCATGGAGGCATTGTCATCCATTCATTTTTCAGATTTTTCCTTTAATTTGTCACCGTCTGTGCATTTACAATATAGTTTATAGTCATTCTGCCGACCTCTTTAGTGTTTATAACACGTTGGCGGCTCTTTCAGATGTGACAGTTACTGACGCTTCTGCCTTTCTCTGTCATCACTCCTTTCAAATGACAGTTCAGCGCAGCTGCTGTCATCAACCTGTATTTTTGTTTGATCGTAGAATAAGGATTGTAGCTGCAGCTCAGCAGGTTTGTCACGACTGCCGGTCAACGCAGATCAAATTTCATTCTCGTTTTGTCTGAGAACAGAAACGGACAAATATGTAAATGAGAACCACTATACTGTGAATTCGGCTGAGTGAAGTCACAGAGAGCAGGAGAGAAATGAATAAAGGTTTGACGAGCTGCTCTGGAGCTGTGCGTGATGACAGACAGCCGTGATGGAGGAACACAACATGGCCAGAGTCAGAAACAGCCTCACTTTGGACAGAGCCAGTCTTCTTCTTGTCCTTACTTTAAGCTAAGAGTTGTATTGCTCTTCTAATCTAACTCTGGGCTAGAAAGCGTATAAATGTATTTCCCAAAATGTTGAACTATTCCTTTAAGCTTATCTATATATGTATATATGGATATCAGTGGCTGATTTAGAGGATTTTCTTTTCACTCATGAAGCTTTTCTCAGCTGTTTGTCATTCTGGTCTGTTGAAGCTTATTCAGTCTTTCTGAATCCTTGGGGACATTTTTGCCCTGAGTTGATCCTCTCAGGCAGACATCCTTCTCATGCTCTGTGCAAATCCCACGTCCTTAACTGGAACTGACAGACCATAACCCAAACCAAGGCTGATATACAGTGTACTGTGAAAAAAAAAATGCTGTACTGACAAACTGAAAGAGATGATATCCTCCTTTCAGGCAGCACAATCTATGTCAGCCGACAGTGTTTAGCTGCTTCCTGCAGCTTTCCACCAAAGCATCATCTTTTAGTTTGCGCAGTGATCAAAAGCTCATCACCGAACGATAAAATAAAAAGGTGATATCAGCAGTAAAAGAACAGGATGTATTATTTCTGTCATCCAGATACTATCGGCCGTCCTCCTCATCCTTATCGGCCTGTCCGTCTGCACCTGGCAGCCCACAAACAAAAGTTAACTGGTTAAACTGGAAGCCTCAGACCTGTTAATCCGACCATGACACATTCAGGTCTGAGCTTCGTCATGTTCCAGTTCCTTCCTCTTGTTCACTGGCTCAGTGTCCGTGGAGGGAAACCAGCCGTCAGCAGCAGCTGCGGAAACACTTCTTGAAGAACTTCTTGAACTCGGTGTTGAAGATGGTGTAGATGATGGGGTTGAGAGCGCTGTTGACGTAGCCCAGCCAGGTGACGGTGCTCATCAGACCGGGAGGGATGTCGCACGTTAAACACACGGCTCGCGTCGTGTGGACGACGAAGAACGGCGTCCAGCAGAACAGGAAGCAGCCTGCAATGAGAACATGGAGGGAAATCAGTTGTCATGGTTACCTCAGGCACCTCAGACCCAGACCTTGTTTTTAAACCAAAGTGACGGAGCTGGTCATCCTATGGATGTGTAATACAATATTGTGGCACTATGATTCACAATATGTCACAATATTCATCTTGTAGTTAAAGTGAAACTAAATCAACAGTTTTGGCTTTTTATACTCGTCATTCTTTAGAGGGCCCCATACAATTACTATTAAAATAACGATGTGAACTGTCAGTCAAAGCCTTAAAATAATTAAGTTTATAATGGTAACGTTTATTTATATAGAACTTATCAAAATCCAGAAATACAAAGGGTGGATAATAAAGTAATAACATGGAAACTTTCAGATAAAATAGTAAAAACAAAGGACAAGATAAAATACCTAATATACATTCCTACATACATTATTTTTTATATTTTTTTATATTTTGGCTTTGTGGCCAACTGAGGTATTTGGTAAATGTTCAACCACTCGGACGTGTTAATTATTCATTTACTTATTTTCTATTTTAGAAAACAAGGATCAGCTTTCAAAATTTTAGAAACAGAACAAATAGTTAAACTTAAAGTAAAGCACCTATTTGCACAGTCAAAGTTTGTTGTAATCCAAACTTTGTGTGTTGAGCTGTGAGCCCTGCGTCATCTATCGCTCCAAACTGTAAACTTACACTCCTAATTAACACCCTATAAATAAACGTAAAAAAGGCACCTGTAGTCTTTTCTTCTCAACGTGATGCTCACCCCCAGAGTAGAAACATTCCTCACAGAAGTTGTAAATATAAACTTCAGTTCTTTCTCTTCTTATTTTAGAGTCGTGAGCTTTGCTTTAGCTCTTCCTCCACAGCCAGCTGTCGACAGATGTGCTGCTGTGTCATGTCGGAATCAGACAGTCTTTAAACACTGTTTTATAATTTTGTGCAAACTTAATTTTATAAGCTATGACACAAGAAGATCTCACATGTGCACGATCATAGACTTTTTAAGAATAGAGAGGTTTTGTGCACACAGCTCTGTAAAGAAAACAGGACAAGGGGCAGAGGGCAGGACATTTAATGTGTATGAGCTCAGTGCTGCTACAGTGAGACATTTAACCAGCTGCTAACTGGGAGCTTTACAGACCCAGATAAAAAAAGTCCCACACTTGAATTTGTGATTTATAAATCTGTGTAAAGAACAAATGAGAGTGAAGGTAGGCTTGGGTGATATCCAAAATGTAATATCTCGATACAGTCTCTACCAAATAATGAGATATACAATATTATTGTAGTGTTGTATTTCAGTTTTTCTTTTAATTATACCTAATTATATTATTGTATTTTATGTTTCAGGTGTAACTGATGCTGCCACTTAAAAGTAATTCAAAGTTTTCTCACATGAGAAATATTGCAAATGGCCGGATTTATTATATTTAATGATATATAATATTTGCCCCACCTATTTAAAGCTAGATGGAAGAAGGTAGAAGCTTGCAAACATAAAACTGAACACACAATCTTGCAGCCACAGACTTAAAGGTCCCATATTGTATAAAGGTAGATTTCCATGTGTTGTTTGAATATAAAACAGGTCTAGGTTCTGTATTAATACTGGGGAAGTATCAAAGCGCTCAGTCCTCAGAGAAATACACACAGCCTGTATTCAGAAACTGAGCCTTAAAATGAGCTGTCAGAAATTCTGTAACTTTGTGATGTCACAACAAAGCAGTCACTCGCTCAGAGCCTCTCTTCCTTTAAATATAGAAGCTTTCAGGTTTGCAGGTACAATATCAAATGTACACATTTCTAAAAACTACATTTACATGCGCAAAACTCTAATGAGAAAACAAGTGTGAAGCTGGACATGGGAACACAGCTGTGGAGTTCACGTCATACTGAAAGCATAGGCGGAAAATAAAAACTCCAACCCATAAAACCATCATATAGACCATATTTTAACGACACCATTTCTCCCCCCTGACTGATCCCTGTGTTTTGTCTCGCCTCAAAATCCAGCTTCAACAGGAAATATGTCAAATTAAGGAACCAAGATGATGTGTTCACAGTGTGACTCTTAATGATTCACGACCAGACTGAGTTCATTAGAGACAAAGCAGAAATGTACGACCCTGCCGTCTCATAATTTTAACTCTAGACATCACTGCTCGTGGGTGCTCAATAATTTTTGGGGTTTCTTTACTTTTTTTTTTTTCCACCTCACAAAAAAGTCATTAATTTCAGTGCCAGATTGAACAGCGAGGATAAAGGCACAGAAGCAAAAATACGACCTCCGTGAACTTTATGACCACAGGGACAGAGATTCGAAGCTAATTTTGAACGAACCTTCAGGAACGAGCGAGGGCTACAAATAGCTGTGTCACTGAATCAAACTCAGGCCGTTTGTCTCAAGTGTCGCCTCACGTTGGTGAAAAAGACGATTCGGGTGATTTATTAGCTTTGTGTTAAGAGGTTGATGGATGGGATTAACACTATGTCTTTCTTTCCAGGAGATTAAGACTTTGCATAATATGCCACAGCTCTACTGTCAGGCGGACACATGCACACTTCTTATTCATAAGATGTATTCAGGCTAGCTCTGATAATGCTGTATTAAATGTAGGGATCCGTGTCAGCGCTCTGTTCTGTAAAAGAAGTTTTGTCTGTGTTCTTCGGAGAATGTCAGGCACAAAGACGTCACAGAAACCCTGCAGTGTAATGGCAGTTTTTTCTTTGCATGCTTTCTTGAAAGTCTTTACTGTAGCCATGAATCAGGGTGAATGATTTTACGGTCGTATACCACCTCGCGCTGTCATACATCACCAGCTGCAATCTGCTGAGCACTGCAGTTTGCACACAAATGTAAATTTAAAGCACATTATTTGTATAAACTCTGCTTTTATGTATCGAACCGCAATTACAGAGTAAAATTGGGTTTGTCTCTGGTGGGACATCGGCCAAAACGGTCAACAAATCAGGGCGGATCTCAGCCCCAGTGTTCAGGAGAGACGGTGTGACTATAAGATCATGTGTTACATAATAATTGGATTGAAGGCTTTAAGCTATAATGGCGCTGTTCGTTGAGAGGCGGCCAGTCAGAAGCGACGCTTTTACCCCCCGTCACTCAAGTCTGAAGTGCATGAATGTCAGCGGCCTCAGCTACCTGAGCTGCAGCACAAACAATAATTAAACTGTAAAACCTCTCAGAGTCTGTTTACGTGTGGAGGAAACATCAGGATACACAATTAAGATTCACGGAGCGGAGACGCGGCCGGGATTGAAAATATGAGCGTGGGGAAGTTTGTTTATAATTTATGGTCTGATCCTGTTTGATTAAAAGCCTCCACACACAAGAAAGTTTGGTGAAACTACTTACGGCTGCTGCTGTGGAGTTTAAACACGGTAGTAATTACTATACTGAACTGTTGAGCACTAAAACCACCTCACCTGCTGTCAGGAGCAATTTTACTTTTCATTTCCTGCTTCAGTGGATAAACATAATAAAAGGTGCTTCAGCTTTGGACTCTTTGGCACAAAGCTCTTTGACAACAGAGGGACGGCGTTTTCACATGAGAAACTTTTTTAAGTCGGGAAACAACTTCTACAAATAAGAGGAAATCCTACAAAGAGTCGATTGTTGCTTCCTGAATGACAACTGTACTGTTTTCCGCTCCAATGAAAATCTAATGTTTAACCTTGTTAATATGATGATGTTCACATGTTCATGTTGGTTTTTTTTTTGTTTTTTTTATGATTACTGACATCATAAAAACAGATTCAGGAACCAATCCCATCAACTTGCAGAGCCTGGGGGCGGGGCTAAATAAATCTGAAACCTTATCAATACAGAGAGAGAGAGTTAGCATTAGCACAACCACAAACACTTTGTCAGCCGCTGCCAGTTACAAGCTAACAAACAACATAAACAAATAAAAGATGCTAACTGCGCTATCTGATACGTCTGCTAGTCTCCGATCTTCGTCACAGCGGTGGTGGGCGGGGCATAAAGCCTGATCCAGATTTCTCAATGAGGAAGTTAGTGTAGATGTGCTACCAGCCCCAGTTTTTATGTGGGAAAACCCTATTAAACAAAATATCAATCATAGCATTCATAGAGTATTTGACATGGTTTCAAACATGTCTGGAGAGGAACCAAAACTTTTAAGAGGAACCAAAAGAAAAATCAGTTTTCTAGTTTGTTTGGCTTGTAGAAATCAATTTATCAAACTAACGGCTCACCTTAAGTGAAACCTGCATAAAAACAATGTTGAGGGTCTAGCTTCAAATAGCGGTGAAATATGATCCAGAAGAGTTTTAAAGACGGTGAAGTTAAAAAAAACAATACAAAAACATATTTCCCAAGTTCCACTTCTGTCTCCTCTTGTTAAATGTTACCTATGTCAGAAATTAGCTTAACAAACATAAACACCTCACCTCAGTTTGTGTGTTTGGATTTCAGTTGGCAAAAACTTTCTTTACATTCCCAAAAGTGATTAATGTGTTAATGACCTTCCAAAACAACCGCGACAGACGTGGGTGAAGGTGAACATCTGTCTACAACTGCATGACTCACTACAGCTCCACATCACCGTGTGTTCGCTAAACCTTTACAATCCCTCTCATACAACACGCCCACATGTTCCCTTTTAACTTGGAAATAAGTAAGTCACATTACTGGAGATAAAGACTCTAATTTCTGTTTCACTGTGACTTTAAGGTTTATCAGTTTATAATGCTCTGAGACGGGAGTTAACTACCCAGAAAACCTTTCACCGCCACAATCACTTTATCTTCTGTTGAGGCAGGCTGGAGGTCTATAGTAACACACATACACACATATTAATGAGGCAACACATCGCCTGCTGGATGATGCTGCATTGCATTGTGAAAAGTTGAGCCAGGTTGAACTTTTTTTTTTAAAATAATGTCGTTTGCTTTGGCGTCTATCCCTGCACCATGTTTCATGTCTCACCTGCAGCCTGTAGCATCTTTTTGGTTTGTTTTTTCAGTCTAAACAACCACTTAATCATTCAAATACAAATAAATAAATGCAGCAAGAAGCTTCAAATGATAGTCAGATGTGTCAATCTTCAGTTAGATTGTTTTTTGCACGGATAGCTTTCCAAACCAAAAAAAAACTTGTATAATTTTAGAGCACGCTTCTGCCAAAGCTGCACACTCCACTGAAAAATGTCTCAATAATCTGCATTTAGATCCTGAAAAGCCCCTACATGAAGTGATCATAGTAATACACAATTATGGCAGGCATTTCCCAGACTGTTTTTTTCCTTTCGAATGAGAGCGCTGGCTCATGAGGAAACAGTAGGTAGAAAATGAACAAACACACTCTATCTAAAAAAGAAACTAATCATTGGTTCCTTGGCCGATGGCCTAACTTTCCACTTCCCTCCAAATTAAATTTCAGTCTGTGAACAGATTTAAGAGATATCCTGCGAATAAACCCAGTCAGCCGATCGCAGGCTGCGTCAAACTGTCTGTTGTCGTGTCACACGAACAGTAAGATGGAGAAATGAGGCCACTGTGACGAATACGACAGTCAAGAAAAAACTGTATAAAAACTGATGTAACGTTCACTTAACACATAAATTATTATGCCTTCATTATGTAATGTTATTGGTGAATTTCAAGGTTCTCAGAGCTGATTTTCATAAAAGTAGTTATCTAAGGCCAGAAACAAACAGCGAGCTGTGATGGGCTCAGGGTCACAGCAGAGTTTTGTTAATCACTACCAGACTTTGACGAATCAGTTTTCTTTTTTTTTTTTTCTTTTTTTATTGAATTATTTTAATCTTATTTCTAGATGAGCTGAGTTTTATAGTCACATTTACATCTATTTGTCCTGTTACACAGTTTGACAGACGAACTTCAAGGACGTGTCTTTTGTGGCTCTGAAGGAGATTCATTCAGTTTTTCTCAGCTTGAGCTTGAAAGTCTGAGAGAGAGTCTGAATTACAAGCTGCAGGGCTACGTATCATTCAATAAATGTTCAATATGGTAATGACGCTGATACCTTGACTTCAATACATATTCTTAGCAATGCTTTTCTTCTATGTCAATGTCATCAAATCAATTTTAACAACTAGAATTACCTCTTCACAGTTTTATGCCTCCGCCAAGCTGCAGGAAATATAGTCACAATCTCTCCTTCCTGAGTTACAGCATTGAATAATGACCAGAAGTGTTTTTGCAGAACATTATGATGTCACAGTGAAGTTGACCATCACTTAATTTTATCCTATTAGCCACATCAAATTGTGTCATGATTAGTGTATGAATTCGTGAGTTAGGGCCAAAAACGTTTTTTTGTGAGGTCACAGTGACCATGACCTTTGACCTTTTACCACCAAAATCTAATCAGTTCATTCTTGAGTCCAAATGAGTGTTTGTGCCATATTTGGAGACGTTCCCTCAAGGCGTTACTGAGATATCTCGTTCATGGACGTACAGACACAACCGCAAAACCATAATGCTTCCAGCCCTGACTGTCACAGGCACAGAGGCATGAAGTGAAAATTACAATCCACATTACAGTACACATTTTAGTTTTATTTTGAAGCTCGGTCTCTTTACACTCCCAAAAGTGTTTGTGTAAATAAACAGCCGATCACCAGCATTATTAGATCTTGGTCCGAGCATGCTGCATGCTGATTGGCTCGCTGATGCTGATGGGATCTACTCATTTACTCCTTAGGAATCGAATGATGAGGCATTCTTCAATCCTGAATAGTATCAAACCAATTTGGTCACTCCATAAAAGTTTTGCAGTTCGATACCCAGCCATACGAGCTGCGTGTTTAACAGTCACTCAGTGTGTAATTTAAGATGCTGCTGAGTTGCATTGTCTTGTTTTTTGGAGCTCGGACATTAAAAGTCAGGATTTCTCAGGCTCTGCTTCTTTAAATTCTTTGTAAAATCTCTATCGTGCAAGTTTGTTCAATTCATGGAAATGTAAAAACGAAATAGCTGGAGTGCGGCCGGTCAATGGGAATCTAGTGTTTTACGAGAACATGGCGTAACGTGGCTTCATGAATGGATCCAGACTGGATCTGAGACAGGTGACACTCATGACCTGTCGGTGGTCATGGTCTAGATCTGTAATCCTCTCTCTCTCTCTCTCTCTCTCTGGCCTGTGGTGCAGATTGACTGTAGGATCATTTTCACCAAATCCATCTTGTTCTGGCTCGTCTTGTGTTTCCTCATCAAATAAACATACATGTAACTCATACGTGAGCATGTGTGTATCCCAGTGTGTGACTCAGTGTGTAGTGTGACTGATGTGTAGATAATGGACTGTTGTGGCCCTTTAACTATATTTAGACTGTGTTGTTGTTGTAGACGTCCTCTGAGCTCTGATTGGAGGAGAGGAAGAACATGAACACTCACCTACTACGACAGGTAGCACCCGCATAGCTTTCCGCTCCCTGCTGTTGATCTTGGCTCTCTTCTTCTTCTGCAGTTGTTGGTTGAACGTCACTGTGGGCACAGAGTTCTCTCTGTACTGCCGGGGATAAGGAATCTCCTGCTGCATGTAGTCGTCCGTGTCGTCCAGCCGAGACTGGGCCAAGTCCCTCTCGATGATCCTGGGCAGAGGCATGGGCAGAGGGCCCGGGATGGTGCCCGCCAGCGGGGGGAGGGCGGTGGCGACGGCGGCGTGCTGCAGCTTCCTGCAGGCCTCGATGCTGCTGCGTAGTTTGGCTTTCCGGGTCTCCTCCCAGCGCTGCAGCCCGCGGAAAACACCGAAGTAGAGCAGGACCATGATGGGGCAGGGGATGAAGAAGGAGCAAACGGACGAATAAACGACATAGTTGTTGTCCTCCAGTTTGCACTCGGTGGGGTCACGGTTAGGCACGTTGTTGATGCCAAAGATGACAGGTGAGGCCACGGCCAGGGCCAGCAGCCAGGTGGCCGACAGCAGGATGAGCTGACGATGGTCCACATGCTTACGGTTATAATTCAGAGGTATGGACACTGCGATAAACCTGCAAAACAACAGAAGAAGAAGAAGAAGAGTTAACACTTTAAACAACATGTCTAACAGAGTGACTCACCTGCAGTAACACATGTTCTTTATTACTTAATATCTAATAATAACGAACCTACTTCTTTCTTGTTTTTTCAATCAACTACCAGATTTCTTTACTAGATCTATGCGAAATAGTTATGAATCAACTCCGCCAACTTCTTACTTTAAAAACATTTCTATAATCTCCGAAACAAAAACATGGCACATTCTGAATCATGTTTTGGCTCTGCTCCTGTTCTGTTGAGTAGCTGAAGAAAGAAGGACCTAAACATGAAAAACAAAGTACATCAGAGCGTCACTCTGCTCCTGCAGACACAAAGTCAGTGTCAGCGAGTGTTCATTTCTACTTTTTACAGGTTTTTCATGTTTAAAATGCAAATTGTTTGTTGTGCAGAGACGTCCTGGCAGCTGCCACTGTTTTCCATCAACACTGAGTTTTATTGTTCTTGCAGCATCGGATTTTGAGCTAATGTGAAGAAGAAGCTTCAATCATTTATTAACATCTTTAATTTTTTTATAATCAACAAAATCCATGAATGTTACTTTGATTTACATCCAGGTAAAATCAGATCAGGATCAGAGGCCTGAACTTCAAAGATTTTACACATTTACTGGCAGGAATCAGCCAGTCACATCGGCTGTGTCGTGTCTTTTGTGGCTCTGGAGGAGATTTGTTAAGTTCATCTCAGCTTGAGCTTGAAAGTCTGAGAGAAAGTGTGAAATAGAAGTTGTAGGGTATCATTCAAAATGTTTTAATATCAGTACTGAAACCTATAGCTTGACTTTGATACTGATTCTTAACAATACTTTTTTCAAATTTTAACAAAAAGAAAAATTACAACACATTTATTTTGAAGCTCGGTCTCTTTACACTCTCAAAAGTGTTTGTGTAAATAAACAGCCGATCACCAGCATTATTAGATCTTGGTCCGAGCATGCTGCATGCTGATTGGCTCACTGACGCCGATGAGATTCACTCATTTACTCCTTAGGTATCGAATGACGAGGCATTTTTCAATCCTGAATAGTATCGAACCAATTCGGTCGGTCTGTAAAAGTTTCGAAGTTCGATACCCACGTTTGCAAACGAGAGAGAAGCAACTGAAGCAACTTTCACAGTCAAATCTTCAGACCATCACTGTCGACGACAGACAAAAACATATCGCACTGGAGAAATCAGTTGCTAACTGAATAATCCATCTTGTCTTAACAAAGTTAGCAAACTTATACACATGAGAATTAAACAGTCATTCCCATTTCTGATTATTAGATCTGTAGTTTTGTTACATGTTCTTCAATCAAGCGCTTCCTGATTTATGTCAAGTTTCTGACGGTTTTGGGCAAAGTTCTTGTCCAGCTGCTTGTGTTTAGACAATATTTACCTGCATCATTTGTTTGTTTTTTTTGGCCACTTAAGGACTTGGAACAAACTGTGAATACAACAGACAAATTATCCCCTTATGAAAGTTGATATGGCGAACATGTTTACCAGTAGCTGACTACATACACAGCGACATTAGCATTCATCTGAAGTCAAATTTTCTCTCAGCCTGATGAATTGAAGGCCAGTGTTCACTCTGTTTTTGTTCCCCGCCAACTCCTGAGGGAAATATCTGGCTCTTTAGCTGTTAAATGCTCCACTATGTTCACCAGCTGCTCTCTAACTGTGCGTCTTATCATCTGTTACTCAGCTTTTATAATCACCAATTTGGAGCATTGTTTTATTTGTTTTGTTTTTTTTTTTTTTGCTGACAGATTGTGAACCATGGGTTTGCTTCAAACTAAATCAGGAAATCCAGTGGATAAAAAAAATAAAATAAAAGTTTTAGTGTGTTTAATGCCACTTTTTCCCTGAATTAGTTTTGGGGTAAACAAACGTATTCAAGCAGGAGCTGACACCTGTCTCCTCTAATGAATTTAATATCACTGCATTACTTCTGAACAGGATTTTAGATTCATGAGTTAATTAACCACATCATCTACTGGCTTCCACAGTAAAAGGCCTGAAAGTCCCTCAGAGGGATGATGCAAACCCTGACCAGACAAACACACACCTACCTGTCCACACTGATGGCACAGAGGTTGAATATGGATGCGGTACACAACATCACATCCATGGTCATCAGGCCGTCACACATCAGCATGTTCAAAGACCAAACTCCACCCTGAAACTGCGCACGCACGCACGCACGCACACACAAAGAAAGAAAGAAAAGAAACACACAAACACCACCTCATTAGCTGCCCCCAATCTGAGCGTAAATATCTGTAATCCTCTTGCACCACTGCAGCTCCCTGTGCAGACAAACATTCCTCCTTTTCAAACACAACACAGTCCACTGTCTCCCTCTCTTTGCGACTCTTTCTCGCTGGGAACATGGAAAGGTTTTAACTTCCAGACTGACTTTTTCTAATCCAGTAAGAGCGTGTGGACAAACCACCGGTGTGACACTCAGTAGATTACCTCGCTGCAGCCACTGGCACAGGTAACAAGATCACAAATGCGGCTAATTAAGGAGGACTTGGGGGGAAGCCTCAGCAGGGCATCTCTGAGCCACAGAGATATTTAGAGAGACAGGCGAGCAGGCAGGTGGCTTTTAATACTTTAATAAGGACTAGATTACACTCTTTAAACCTATTTATTGCCTGGAAATATTGTGATTTATGGATCATACCTCTCCTGACAAACCAGTATGAATCCCCCACTTCCCCCCTGTCATTAATTAATCCTGATTAAAGAGGTGAGAGCGGCTCAGCACTGCATGGTCCCTCCTCTGTTTTCTGACATGATGACCTGTTTCTGGTTTAATTGGCAACTTCGTTTAATCAGATTAGATCCCATTAATAATTTCACCCAACATATCTTAAATATGTGCATTTAGTTGAGAAGTATTTGACTCTCATCCACTTAAACTGCTCTGTCTCTGCACTGTGACACATCAGCAGGTGTTCAGTTCGGTAAAGGCTCCTGTCATGGATGGATTGTGAGACAACAGGCCCTGGGGCACACACTGAAAGCCCCCCCCCCACCCCCCACCTTACATAGGAGCAAGGCTCAGACTGAAAGAGACAGAAAAACATGTTGGTGTCTCTTTGAAGACATTTTGCTTCTTGTCTCTCTTGTTTTGTGTGTCTTTGTTAGTAAAACTCTGCAGGTGCTGAACTTACTTCTCTCTGGAGATGAAGAGAGGCTTGTCTGACTCCTGCCGCAGCAGATCCACACTCACAGCACACTGTTATGAACCCACCAGGACCCTGTGACCCCCTCAGGCCCTTACGCCCGCTCAATAATCCACTCAAAGCTACTTTAGCTCGGTTCTTACCTCTGCGTAAACGAAGAGCGGCAGAACCAGCACCGCCAGCAGCAGGTCCGCAAACGCCAAACTGACTATGAAGTAGTTTGTCGTCGTCTTCAAAGCCTTCTCCAAGTACACGCTGAGGCACACGAGCACGTTCCCCCCGGTGATGATCACAATCAGCAAAATCCCGAACACGAGCGCAGGGAAATTATACTGTGTGACCGCAGTCGCCGGCAGCGTGTCGTTGTTCAAGTCAGTGGAGTTGTCCGACATGGTCGCCTCTGTTGCGCCGCAGACTGACGGGCTCCTTGTCCGACGGAGAACGGCTCTCTCCGGGGCACTTTTCATCAATGATCCGTATCCAGCAGCCCTGAGATGAGCAGGAGCGCCACAGGTGAAGGAAGTGGGAGTATCCCCGTGAGGACGCGCATCAGTATCCGAGCTGAGCCCCGTGCGCTCCGCTCTCCAAGCGCACAGTGACCAGGTCCCGTCTGATCCGTCTTATCCAGCCCTCGATACACTTTCCTTTCACATTCACTGGACTGATGGTGCCAGGCAGTTGTAGCATTATGTGGATCAGTTTCTCTGCCGTCTCCTCAGCCTGCTCCCGAAGGAATAAGTTTGCAGAGTGGGCGAATCAGAAGGCAACGGCTTAAACCCATCCGCACAAATCTGCTTACTGAGGCTCTGCTGTGTGAACAGTCCCTGCAGCAGCGGGGTGGCAAATCAGCTGTCAGGAAAAGAAACAGCGTGGTAATCAATTATTCTTCAAATACTTTTTTTTATTCTGTCGCCATCACCCTGCCGGAGCGTGGATCTGATGAGCTGCAGGTTCAGCACATTGGAAGAAAGGCGACAGATCAGAGTTGCACAGAAAAGATGAATCTTTTTATCCATTAATATTCATTTCTTCTTCTTTTTTGTGATTTTCTCGTCAGTCTTTTAACACAGCATATCTGCACATATACAAGTACTCATGTTACTACTATTCTACTGCCAACTTGCTGGTACTATTACTACTTCTGTGACCACTGATACTTTTACTATTTTACTACAGTACTACAACTATTGACTATGACAGAAGTAATGTCTTTCTCCTACTACCACTATTACTCATTACTATGACTACTACATGAATAATAGTAGTATTACTCTTTGCTACAAGTTCTTTTTATATTGTTATTCTACTACCATTGGTAGGATACTAACTACTAGTACTTATTCTATGACTAATAATGTTGCTACTATTACTATTCTACTAACTGCTATTATTACTACTATTTATGCTTCTACTATTACTTGCACCTGCAATAATACTGTTACCTATACTGATACTTCTACTATATTATGACTGCTAATACTTCAACTACTTCTGGTAGTAGTTCTACTACTAGTAGAACTACTACTAGAACAATTTCTACCACTGCTAATTCTACTGATAAGATACTACAACTGGTATTACTACTATTACTATCACCACTATGACTACCGATAGTATCACTACTACCATTCTTCTACGACTTACTACTGATTATGGCGATGATACTGCAACTACTAGACTACTACAACTACTACAATTATAGTACTTCTACTACATGTTAATATTCCTCTTCCTCTTCCTACTACTCTTCTACTACCACTGCTAGTACTTGGACCACTGATACTATCACTTGTACTGCTAATCCTGCTGCTGCACCTGGATCTAGTTTTTTAAAACCTTTGTGAAAATCTGCAGACGTTCTTTTCTCGTTCTGGTGGAACGAGAAAATGTGTTTCTCAGCAGGGAAACATGAGACCCTGCTTTACTTTGATGGATGTTCACACACACAACACTGCTTCATTTCATACCACATGTATAATTGAATGTACCATAATTAAAAGTTTCCTTGTGATCAAGTCTGACGCTCTCAAACCGACAGGCCTTGATGTGAGTGTGAGGACGCTGAACCGAGAGGAAATTTAGGTCAAAGTGTTGAATCGTCTTCACCAGTGATGATGAGTGTGTTATGGAGCCAACGTGATCGCTGACGAGACCTGCTCTGTGTGTCTCAAAGTGTGTGTCACATCAGCCAATGGGACTGATGTGTTGACGCCGTAGTGGCCGGGTCATTCATAAAATGATAAAAATCATTGTGCCGCTTGAACCCCACCAAACCATTAAGACCATTGTAAGCTAAACTGTAGAGCTTTCTATTTGACTCAGTCTGACTCAATCACCATCACTGCTCAAAATCAAATGTTCAAATCACTGTTCAGCCAATCAAAATAGACTCAGACTCAAGTCCAGATTTTCAGACCTCATGACTCAGGTCATAGGGAATTGACTCGGACTCTTCTTTGATGACTTGGACTCAGACTTAAACACTAGGGACTCGAGACTCTACTCAGACTCGTGATTTTGTGACTCGACTACAACACTGGGCTACACACATTACATCATGCTAAAAGACTGAGGCCAACGCTAACAGGACCCAGTTAAAAAGTCAGTGTCCCCACCAGCAGATGATTAATGTAGGAGACACACAGTATAAATAAAGCAGCAGCAATGAACTTGTATTACAGCGTATTAGTCCCAGTATTATAGTAGCTGCAGTATTGTACCTTTTGGGGATTTTTACCATAGAAAAACGCAGCAACACAGAGGTTAGACTATTTTTTATTTTTTTGCATTATTGTTCATATAAAAACATTTTTTACAAGTCTTTCAGGATGAGGACTGAAGTTTGAAAAAATATTCCAGTATCTCAGTTAGTGCTGGAGTGTAAACACATTGGATGTGTTGTTCCTGAACTGAGCTGTTTCAGACATAACTTACAACCATACAAAAGTCTAATTATCTGATGACTTATTGGCTTTGAAGTAAAATCAGTTTACTGCTGTAGGGATTAGGCCAGTGAGGCGGGCATGAAGCTTACATTAGAGCAGACAAACACACTGTTCAGTCCATTCCTTTCATTAAAGGCTAAATAAAAACCCCACGACCCTCCAAACTCTTTGGAAACCCAGTAGTCCCCCAGGCACACTGCTTCACAGAAAATATGGATTCATAAAGAAAGTTGATGCGGTCAGTCATTCTCTCATGGGCCACTTATGGACGCTAACAAAAAAAAAAGAAGCCCAAAAGGTCTTTTCCCCAGAGAGACATTTATAAAACAAACTGTTGACAGGACACTACGAACTGCAAACATGGAGAGTTATTATTTCTTGTTGTATGAATTTTTATGCCATAATGATGATGATGATGAAAACTTTCCCAGAGCCCAGAAAACCAACTTTATTACTGCGTGGCATCATCCCAATGGAAAGTCTTCCAGCTTGAAAATTTTTTTTGGACATACTTTTGTATTCATCTGAAATTTTTGTGTCCTTTGGCGAATATGCAAATGTGAATATGGAGGAAATAGCTTCATACTTGTGAAAAATTAATCTTAGCTCTTGACTTCAGTTGAGAGCAGAGCGGCTTTTAATCCTTTAGTTTTCACTCAGCGAGGTTATATTCAGACATCACATGCGGAGAACAGCTGACAAGTTTTCCTGTGACTGTTACTTTTTGAATCTCAGCGTAAAGGTGTTTGTGCCCCGGCGGCTCCTGTGGCATGAATATCATTAGAATAAAGTCAGCAGCAATTAGCTTTTCACACATTGTCACAAAGCCTCGGGAGGAAGAGGAGAGCTTGAAGAATAGCACACATGCTTAAAAAAAAAAAAAAGAACACACACAACGCAGATGTTTAACTCGGCCTAAATCCTTTGGGCAGAAAATACATAAAGAGAAGGAAGATCACTGAAGTATGATCCCACTGCTGGAAACAAAGGAAACCATGTGAGCTAATCTTCTCCTCCTCTTTTCCTCAGTGATTAAATAAGAGCAGGATGATGAACTGGATGGAGTCGGCTCCTTCGATGTACAGAATTTTATTTAGAGTCTATGACATAACATTGATGTGATTACGTTATGAACAAAGAATAGTACATTAAAGTGCCTAATGACTTAATGGTAATCGGAATGTATTCAGACGCCTAATGAGCATTAAACTCAGTATTAATATTGGTAGCTGTGTGGTTTTTGTCCTTGTTATTGTATTGTAACCATATTCTGTGTTATCGACCCGTCCACATGAAACATCTGTACACCTGCTCTGAATGGCAAAAAGCCCAGCTGTCATACACCAGACGCCAGACGTGACACACTATCAGACAGTCTCGCCTCCTGTTGTTTTGATGCACAAACAAAAAGTCATGCAGTTTTGTGAAGACTGAAAAAGAAGGAAGTTCAAATGCTGCTTTTTTATTTATTTATTTTTTTTGATCTAGCCTCTGCACACCTGGCCAGTCATCTGCAATAAAGTGGTATGATTGTTGGTTTGAGAAAGTTTGAATAATGGAAGATGTTATGGGGCAGAGGGTTTTAGATGTTGTTCAACCATCCAGCAAGCACTTAGCAAAGCGGCTCCAGCTGTCACCCCTTATTGGCGCTTGCCAAAGAACTAAAATGCTATAATAACAATGATTATTGTTATATTACCCATAAAATTGCTGTTTTTGCTGCTGCTGATTGAAATCGTTTCACTTCATTCTTCAGTCCTACATCATGTTGGTTGCTTTCTGTTTGGGGGGGGGGTTATGTCTGACGTATCTGTTCAGTTGACATTACCTGAAGTTGCGGCACCAGTTGCTAGGAGCATTTAATGTTTCCGATCATATAAGAAGCTCTTACATCAATCAGGATTCATCTATAAGTCGACTTTCAACAGGATCTTATGTTTGTTTTTTCATTTATAGCAACTTAGAGCACATTGCTAAGGTTACATGCATCAATGTGATGTAAGTGTTGAACCATTCAACCATTGTAATGTGTGTTAAGACTCATTGGTGTGACTACGTCTATGTTCTTCAGAAGTATTCGTGATGTGTCCTTCAGCTCATTTCACAGATAAAACATTTAAGTGCCAAGTCGAAGCTTTAACTTGAGGAAGTTTACATCAGTATAGAAAGAACTACATGGAGATTTAGTCCTATAATATGTAGTTTCATCGAAAATCGCCTCAGTTAATGGTCAACTTAGTAGCATTTTTGGAGCTTTCAACCATATCTCACAGTCTTCAGTGAATGGCTCAGATGTCATCATGTGACCTGCGTGTGTAATTTATCACATGATAACAGGTCGGGTTATACAGGGGGAGACGGTAACCATCGTAGATTATGAAGGCCAAACCAAAGTGAGGCGGTCTGGTTTGTGGAGGATTTTCGCCTTGCGTCACCAGCTGTGCTCG